TATTTTGTAACGTGGCAGAAAATCCATACATGTGGTGTTATGGTATTATGAACGTTATGGTGTTATGGTGTTATGAGCGTTATGGTGTTATGGTGTTATGAGCGTTATGGTGTTATGAGTGTTATGGTGTTATGAGTGTTATGGTGTTATGGTGGTTATGGTGTTATGAGCGTTATGGTGTTATGAACGTTATGGTGTATGAGGGTTTTTCCTTCTCTCACCCAATTGTCTGTCCCTCTCTCCCCTCTCATTCACCCCCCCCTCTTACCCCACTCTCTCTCCCTCTCTTCCGTTCTCCCCTCTCACCCCTCCCCCATGCCGTGAGAGCCCTCAGCTCGCCTCATATGAATCTGGAGAGAAAGATTTTCAATACTACCAAACTTGTTGTTATTTAATGAAACTCATGTAACGTAGTGATAGCTGTTCCTGCCACCACCACTACCACCATCTCTACCACTACTACCATCAATACCATTACTGTACAGCCACCTTCACTACCACTACCACCATTACTAATATTATCACCATCACTGCCACTACCACCTTCACTACCAATACCATCACTACCACTACCACCACCATCACTACCACTACCACCACCACCCAGTCAACTTGACGACAGGCCTGGGGTTGCTGGGTGGTGGTTCATACATATTACTATAAGCGTCAAAGAAACCTCTCGGGTGTACGCGTTATGGAACAGGTAGCTGACAGTATGAGTAGATACACCCCACCTGTGAGGATGTCTGCCCTAACCATACCAGCTACACTTCCTACCACTCTGGCTGAGTTTTCCCTCACACCCACCTAGATGACCGTACATAGTCCTTACCTACAACACTATACCAAAATAAGTACACATACATAGCCTCAACACACATTGGATGCGGACTGGACTGGATGCGGTGGTATTGAGACTGACTGGCGGTAAAAGAGGTAGAATTAACAACTGAACTATTTATCATAGTCATTGCCATGGAACTTGCTGAAGTCACTGTCACAGACAGTCTCATCATCAGTGACTCCCTATCCTCACTACTTGCCCTAACACCCTCAACTCATAGTGCGTCTCTGAAGCCAGATACAAATAAGTGAGCCTTGTTGAGGAGATCCTTAGGATCAACTTCTTGCGGATCCCTTCTCACATAAGCACCTGAGTGTTGACGCCATAGCTAAACTTGTGCCCAATAATGAGCTTCATGCAGAACTCTGAAAACTGTAATTGGGAAAGAAATTGTAGGTGATTTTGTAGCAAAATGACAAATGCAAACAGGAACTAGACAATTCACTTTCTACCATGATGAGATGTCTCAAGTAACAAGATCAGTAGACACGAGATGTTGTTACCGCTATACTAAGGTTGGGATATAAGTACCTCTGGCAGTATGACCCTCATGCTGATGTGAACAACACAAAATGGACAGTATGCGGCCAGACGACAGAGGGCCACACACTACACTCCAACACTACGTCCTAGACTGTGAGAAAATAGAACCTTTCGGAGACAGGTCAAAGCTTACTGTGTGTGTTATGGTACAGCTCTTTATCACATATGGTAAGACAGTTGATACCTTGAGACAGTATCCACATTGTGCTACAAGTAAAGAGGTAAATCACCTTGTAAAGACTTTAACATCATATGGATTACAAATGCTTTAGAATATTCAATGCCACAATAACTCACTACCACTACTACCATCATCCCAACACCATCACTACTATTACTACAACTACTACCAACACTACCAATACAACCTTTTCTACAACCACCACCAATACTAACACGACAATCACTAATACTATTACTACCATCACTACTACCACCACCACAACCTACAACACATATCACCCTCACTATCATTACCTACCACCACGACAAATAAACCAGCCACCAGTGATACCTCTAACACTATCTTCATCACCACCACCACTACTGACCAACACTATTACTACCACAACCACCACAACCACTACTACCGTATGCGAGTGTGTGTGTCATAAACTGCCTCGGTAAATAAAATATCCCTCACGTGCTAAACCACATCCGTCTATCAAGCCAAAAAATCACGCCTGACATGACACAATAGCCTGGCTTCTTTACCAGAACGATAGATCATTAATAAAAAGTATATCTAAACAAATATCTATCTATATAAAGTTGTAACAGTAATATAACCACACAACGAACAAGAGAAACAAATAAAGAATAACAACTGGACAATTCAACTTTTAATATCATCTACGTTACCTCCATCAACAGCTCTTGCCTACATTACTTAATCAATGAATCGACACTACTCTTGGTAACGTTGGTCTTTGTGGTGGGTGGGTGGATGAGGTGGATGAGGTGGTGGATGAGGTGGTGGGTGAGTGGCTGTGACTACTACCATCTGTTGTTACTCTCTGTTGACGATGTACTGTTGTCTTGGTCTGTCCTGCTACCATGACACACACACACACACACACACACACACACACACACACACACACACACACACACTCTCTCTCTCTCTCTCTCCACCACGACCTCTCACTCATAACACCTCCCACTCACCATAACAACCTCCCACTCTCTCCCTCACCATAACAACCTCCCACTCCCATAACAGCCTCCCACTCCACCACTCACCATAACCCAGCCTCCCACTCACCATAACAACCTCCTACCATAACACCTCCCCCTCACCATAACAACCTCCCTCACCATAACAACCTCCCCCACTCACCATAACAACCTCCCACTAACAGCCTCCCACTCACCATAACAACCTCCCACTCACCATCCTTCCACCTCCACCTAACAGCCTCCCACTCACCATAACAGCCTCCACCAGCCTCCACTACCATAACGGCCTCCCTCCCACCCCACTTCCACTCCTGCATAACAACAACCTCCTCCCACCACCATAACAGCCTCCCACCCCACCATAACAACCTCCCACCTCCCCACTTAACACCTCCCACTCACCATAACAGCCTCCCACCACCTATAACAGCCTCCCACTCACCATAACAACCTCCCCACTCACCATAACAACAACCTCCCACTCACCATAACAACCTCCCACTCACCATAACAACCTCCCACACCTCACCATAACAACCTCCCACACTCACCATAACAACCTCCCACCAAGAGCAACAGCCTCCCACCACCATAACAACCTCCCACTCACTCAGCAACAACCTCCCACTCACCATAACAACCCTCCCACACTCACCATAACAACCTCCCACACTCACCGGCAACAACCTCCCACTCACCATAAACAACCTCCTCCCACTCACCATAACAACCTCCCCACCTCACCATGGGCAACAGCCTCCCACTCACCATAACAGCCTCCCACTCACCATAACAACCTCCCACTCACCATAACAGCCTCCCACCACCATAACAACCTCCCACTCACCACCATAACAACCTCCCACTCACCACAACAACCTCCCACTCACCATAACAACCTCCCACACTCACTACAACAACCTCCCACACTCACCATAACAACCTCCCACTCACCATAACAACCTCCCACTCACCATAACAACCTCCCACTACCACATAACAACCTCCCACTCACCATAACAACCTCCCACACCACCATAACAACCTCCACACTCACCATAACAACTCCCACTCATCATAACAGCCTCCCACTCACCATAACAACCTCCCACTCACCTGAAAAGAAAAGAAAAAAAACATCAGTAATTTTCATTTAATGTATAAGACAGAAGAGATACCAACCCTCCTCCCACCTCACCCATTAATTAAAAGAAACTACACACACGCACGACACAAAACAAAAAATTATCAGCAGGGAGAGACAAAGGTTCTTTTAGCATGCCAGTCGTCAGAAGGTGCGCACGATTCGCATGACTGCGCACTGAGCCACCTGCTAAAGGGGGAAGTTAAAACGATAATTCTTCCTCCTCTCCCCATCTTCCTCTCTAGGAAATGAATATAAATCATGTAGATAGGTAAGAGAAAGAGACCCCCCATGGCACCACACCGAATACAGTGAAACCTTTATTTAACGTAATATATGTGACAGCTTAGTCCGTTAGATTGAGGCCCGTTACATATGAAACCTTTTTAACGGTCTATATGAGGTAGGTAGTACCTTTATATATGAAAACTCTATTTAACGGTCTATATGAGGTAGGTAGTCCTTTATATATGAAAACTCTATTTAACGGGCTATATGGAGAAAGAAGACCGTTATATTGAATGCGAGAATACAACTGAGGTCTCTTTCTTTCTCTTCCAGGAAAGCGAGACTGGAAAAGCGAGACTGGAAACTACAAGGAAAAGTTTCAGCTGTGGGAAAAAAATAATAAGGGCGTCTTATTCCTCGTCAAAAAAATCAGTGTCGCTTTTAATTTCACATAGACTGTATAATTTAGGTTGGGGGAGAGAAATATACGTACTATATGTGTGAGTGTTTTTTTTCTCTGTGCTGGAATGAAGATGGGACCATTGTACTGTAAACCAGGACTGGCTACTATTATTGTGACCATAACTGCTGGAACCATAACTGATTATATCTGGAACCATAACTCATCATCTCTGGAACCATAACTCATCATCTCTGGAACCATAACTGATCATCTCTGGAACCATAACTCATCATCTCTGGAACCATAACTCATCATCTTTGGAACCATAACTGATTATCTCTGGAACCATAACTCATCATCTCTGGAACCATAACTCATCATCTCTGGAACCATAACTGATCATCTTTGGAACCATAACTGATTATCTCTGGAACCATAACTGATCATCTCTGGAACCATAACTGATTATCTCTGGAACCATAACTGATCATCTCTGGAACCATAACTGATCATCTCTGGAACCATACCTGATCAACTCTGAAACCATAACTGATCATCTCTGGAACCATAACTGATCATCTCTGGAACCATAACTGATCATCTCTGGAACCATAACTGATCAACTCTGAAACCATACCTGATCATCTCTGGAACCATACCTGATCATCTCTGGAACCATAACTGATCATCTCTGGAACCATACCTGATCATCTCTGGAACCGTACCTGATCATCTCTGGAACCATAACTGATCATCTCTGGAACCATAACTGATCATCTCTGGAACCATGGAACCATAACTGATCATCTCTGGAACTCTGGAACCATAACTGATCATCTCTGGAACCATAATCTCTGGAACCATACTGATCATCTCTGGAACCATAACTGATCATCTCTGGAACCATAACTGAACTCTGGAACCATAACTGATCATCTCTGGAACCATAACTCTGGATAACTGATCTCTGGAACCATAACCATGATAACATCATCTCTGGAACCATAACTGATCATCTCTGGAACCATAACTGATCATCTCTGGAACCATAACTGATCATCTCTGGAACCATAACTGATCATCTCTGGAACCATAACTACTCATCTCTGGAACCATAACTACTCATCTCTGGAACCATAACTGATCATCTCTGGAACCATAACTACTCATCTCTGGAACCATAACTGATCATCTCTGGAACCATAACTACTCATCTCTGGAACCATAACTGATCATCTCTGGAACCATAACTGATCATCTCTGGAACCATAACTGATCAACTCTGGAACCATAACTGATCATCTCTGGAACCATAACTGATCATCTCTGGAACCATAACTGATCAACTCTGGAACCATAACTACTCATCTCTGGAACCATAACTGATCAACTCTGGAACCATAACTACTCATCTCTGGAACCATAACTGATCAACTCTGGAACCATAACTACTCATCTCTGGAACCATAACTGATCATCTCTGGAACCATAACTGATCAACTCTGGAACCATAACTGATCATCTCTGGAACCATAACTGATCATCTCTGGAACCATAACTGATCATCTCTGGAACCATAACTACTCATCTCTGGAACCATAACTTCATCAACGCTGATCTCTGGAACCATAACTACTCATCTCTGGAACCATAACTACTCATCTCTGAACCATAACTGATCTCTGGAACCACCTCATCTCTGGAACCATAACCTCATCTCTGGAACCATAGCTGATTATCTCTGGAACATTTTTTTTTTTTTTTTACAAAGTTAACCATCTCACTAGACTAACGAAGAGAAAATGACAACATTAACCAGACAAAAGGGTGAATGTTTACATAGCCCGAAGTACCAACCCCTGACAACACTGCTAGGAAGGGCTGCCGTCATATGTACTGGAAAGTGGCGAGACTGTTGCTGGAACTTGGAACGCCTATTCCAGTTGGGAGCGAGGCTGACCTACTTGTGCAGGACACTCGACACCGCACCGTCGCTGGACTGCCTTCCTCTCCCACTCTCCTCCTGTACTTACGACCTCCCGAACTATTGTCGCCGGGAAAGCTGAAGCCTGTTAGTGCAACAACACAACTGCGCCAGGATTCTCTGAGGCGAGTACGTTAAATTTCACAACCAAAGTGGAGATGTGACGACTAACAGACCTCGTACACGTAGACACGTTGACCAAAAAATGTTCCGTAATTGCACCAAGACTCTAGCAAAGTGTATAGTTTCTCTCATGACTACAAGTTGAAATGAAAAGAAGAAAAAAAGACGATACTAATGTAAACAGTTGGAAGTTGATGAGGTGTCTCGGGGTGAGGGGGAGGAGGGGCATCTCGGGTGAGGGGGGGCTATCTCGGTGAGGGGGGGGGTGTAGGGGAGGGGGTGGCTCCAGGTAAGTTGTTCTCTGGCTGTCAAGGAGACTAACCTTTCGTAATTGATTTTCTGGAATGTTTTATATTGTGAGACATGACTTAAGCTTTCACCCAGCGCCACCAGAACCACAACCACCAGCGCCACGACTACCTGCACCACAATCACCAGCGCCACAACTACCTGCACCACAATTACCAGCACCACAATTACCAGTACCACAACCACCACCATCACCACAACTACCTGCACCACAACCACTAGCGCCACAACCACCAACACCACAACCACCACCATTACACATCACCACTACCACCAAACGTCACCACCACCACCAAACGTCACCACCACCACAGCCATCCACCTCCACTATCACCTCTCCCACCACCACAGCCAATCGACTCAACCACCACAACAACAATCCACCTCCACCACTCTCATCCTCACAACCCTTCATCAGCCCTTCACCACCCCCTCACAACTCTCACATCAGCCCCTTCATCACCCCCTCACAACCCCCACATCAGCCCCTTCACAACTCTCACATCAGCCCCTTCATCACCCCCTCACAACCCCCACATCAGCCCCTTCACAACTCTCACATCAGCCCCTTCATCACCCCCTCACAACATCTGCCATCACCCCTATCAATCAACAGGTGGAGGGTGGCCCACAATGCACCTGTCGCCTCCTCCCCTAAACAAAGAGAATGTGACAAAGGAACCGCACCAATCTCGCTCATTACTAGCGAGTCTTGACGATACCAGTCCTATAGTGAGGCTGAGAGAGACACAAACCCCCAGAAACCTGATATAAAATCCAACCCACAGCACCAGGTAACGTCTCTGTACAATTTCGACGCCATCTTGGGTATCGTAGCTGAAATGAACCTATAGTAAGTGTGTTCTTCCATCTTCTGAACACCGTAATAAAATATACTTAACCTAATCTAATCTATCACAGGCTGTACAATGCAGCCTCGGTTACGTTAGGTTAGGTTAAGATACTAAATTAAGTTAGGTTGGGTTAATTTTGGTTAAGTTTGACACCATTTCCCTTGCAAGTAACGACAACACACACACACACACACACACACACACACACACAGCAGGCAGCTACCAAACAGGGAGGTACTACCGCCTGGGAAGATATTGGAAGCATAATGTGTTGTCTAATGGTAGACCCTGCTGCCATATGGCATCACGAAATTTGTGACCAAGTCCCAGGTTGCTGATCTGTCTTTCTGCCTCATTTACACACAATTGCAGGGTATAAATTGTTTCTCTCACTTTGACAACACAACATACATATATTGTTTCTCACTCTTGATATTTTTATTTTTTATTTTGGTATTTATTTGTGGGTCTTTATTATTACAGGGGGTATTATTATTATTATATTTATAATTAAAAAAAATATTATTTTTATTATATTCTTTTATTATAATTATTATTTATTTTTAAATATTTTTATTAATTTTATTAATATTATTATTATTATTATTATTATTATTATTATTACTATTATTATTATTATTATCATAATAATTACTATTATTTTATTATATTTGCGCCCCACAGGCCTTGATATGGGTCATGTGCCGGGTGGGCTATTGCTCGAAAAAAAAAAAAAAAAAAACACACTGGCCAGGCAGGTTCCTTGCATAAAATAAAGATGACAGCGTGATAACAGAATAATGAGATGCACGCCACCGACCCATACCTGTTGATCACACTCTGGCCTCAGCGACACACTTGTTGATGGCGCTGGCTTGAACGCGACACCCTCCAGTCACTGACCACTGGCTTCAACACAACACACTGCTGACCACTAACTTCAACACAACACACTCACTGACCACTGGCTTCAACACAACACACTCGCTGACCACTAGCTTAACACAACACACCTGCTGACCACTAGCTTCAACACAACACACTCACTGACCACTAGCTTCAACACAACACACCGCTGACCACTAACTTCAACACAACACACTCGCTGACCACTAACTTCAACACACACTAGCTGACCACTAATCTTCACCACAACACACCCACTGACCACTGGCTTCAACACACTCACTGACCACTAACTTCAACACAACACACCTGCTGACCACAACCTAACACAACACACTAGCTGACCACTAACTTCAACACAACACACTACTGACCACTGGTTTAACACAACACACCACTGACCACTGGCTTCAACACACACACACCTGGACCACTCTTCAACACAACACACTCGCTGACCACTAACTTCAACACAACACACTTGCTGACCACTAACTTCAACACAACACACTCACTGACCACTGGCTTCAACACAACACACTAGCTGACCACTAACTTCAACACAACACACTCACTGACCACTGGCTTCAACACAACACACTCACTGGCCACTAACTTCAACACAACACACTCGCTGACCACTAGCTTCAACACAACACACTCGCTGACCACTAACTTCAACACAACACACTCTCTTAAACTGACTACGCTACAAGAGAATCACACACACACACACACACACACACACACACACACACACACAACAGGTCCCACATACAAGTTCGTTAACACCAGCGCCCGGAGACCGACGTTCAACCGTATGTAGATAATTACAACAATATAATTTAATAATAATGTCATATATTAAAAGCATCTGACTCACCATACTCTTAAGGCAACAGGTGTTATGATACAAGCAATTAACCACAAGGATCACCTGAACATTAGCCACCCTTCAGTGTACTTCTCTTTGTGGTTAGGTTAGGTTAGGTTAGGTCAAGTTAGGTTAGGTTAGGTTAGGATTAATGTGGTTAATCACAAGGTAAAATAAAATAGTGGTTTAATATTCAGGTAATTCAACAAAATAAACCAGAAATAAAATAATAATAATAATAATAATAAGATAAACTAAACTGCTCAGTCGCGCGTTAAGTTGACCGAGGCGATGATAATACAAGTTGACAGCCACACACTCCTCTGTCAGCTTGGCCGGAGGTGAGGGTCAAAATCCGATAACAATTTAACTCGGCGGCCAACTAACCCTTATCTCAAGAAAATCCGTCACTGCATTAACCCCTTGAGTACGATATCTTAACCCCTTGAGTACGATATCTTAACCCCTTGAGTACGATATCTTAACCCCTTGAGTACGATATCTTAACCTCTTGAGTACGATATCTTAACCTCTTGAGTACGATATCTTAACCCCTTGAGTACGATATCTTAACCTCTTGAGTACGATATCTTAACCTCTTGAGTACGATATCTTAACCCCTTGAGTACGATATCTTAACCCCTTGAGTTG